TTTCTCTGCGGCTCACTTTAGCCTCAGCGGCTAACTGACCAGCAGGCTGACCGTCGGCCAGAGTGCCGCCGAGCAAGCAGCTCAGTGTGCCGGTGAGTGTACCGCGCGGGACGCCGTGTAAAATCCACGGAGAGAACTTCAGGATCACAGCGAGCTGCTAACGCTACTCTCAGCCTCCGTGCTCGGCTAGCGGGGCCAAGAGAGCGGCTTCCATTATCGGACGCTGCGCTGCTGTGGCTCGCGTTGGGAGCCGCTGCACCTCCTGCTGCTGAAGCCCAGAGAGCCGCACGGACAGATGGAGCCTCTGTGAAGCAGGAGGATGACGACAGGTGAGCTCGGATCAGTTGCTTCTCACTGTGCGCGTGTGTGCGCGCGCGAAGTAACAGGTGAGCTGAAGCCGAACTTTCAGAGTGTGTGTTTGAGCCCCTTAAATCAGAGGATTTCTGAATGTACCCTGGTCGGAGCTGCTCTTCTGTCTGTGTCACGAGTTCAGGTGAATGATTGAGCTGCCGACACAGGACACCTGTCCTCAGGTGTGCTGACGCCAGCAGCAGTTCCAGGTTACTCATTGAAAATAGATTAACCCTGTGATCAGTCGACCTGAGAGCTGATTGGAGGTTCAGGCTGTGACCTCTGACCCCCAGTGTTGGCAAGTTTCTTTGAAAAAGTAATTAATTATAGTTACTAGTTACTTCTTCAAAAAGGTAACTGAGGTAGTAACTGAGTTACAAGATTCTAAAAGTAATTAATTACTTAAAGTAACTATTGCGTTACTTAAATTTTTATTTTATTTATTTTTTTAACCCTCTGGGATCCAGGGTATGATTGGACATTTTAACTACTGTTGATGTTTCCTCTACATTTCACCTTTAAAAACTATTTATTTGCCTCGCTTGGTATCATCAGCACAGCCTCACGTGTCTGAATTTACAGTCACAAATCATGTGACTTACAATGTGACTGCTGTGATTAAAGCATCTTTCTTTCAGCTTAACGAGTGAACCGTCAGCTCGTTCAAACACACGTTAAAGTCCGTTTGGCTCGACACCACCGAACAGAGGCAGCAATATAACAGAGCTAACATTAACAGTGCAGTGAATCCTGCTTGTGCCGTGATATTCAGGACTGCAAACCGAGCAGCATCACTGACTTTCAGCCTGTTGTGTTTGTGGATAAATGACTGACTTTAATTATCCACAAAATCATCACATTCTCTGTAAGATTAAGGTAAATATGTAGAGGCTTTAAAACCAAGTAAACACTGAAAGTACAAACGTCACTAGTGTCACATAACTTTGCCAACATGTGGCCAACAGCAATGTTTTAATGTTCTTTGTTATTAAACATTCGCACATAAATAAGTGACGTCATATTCAGTACTTATATGTAAGTACTATATTAAACTCTTCGGCCGCCCCTCTTTAGCCGTCCGCCGTTTTTTTCCGAACAAAATATCCACACCCACCGCCGCGCTATGAATTGTGGGATATGTGGGGCCACGAGGTGTACACCGGGCCACACTTCTAATTTGGGCAAATGAAGGGTGCATTTGTCGACCGGAGTACACTTTGTATTGGGACGCCCTTCGTCGCGTCGCTGTGACGTAATCGTTCTCCAAACACTACGAAGCGTGCGGTCGCTGGATCGGGACACAGCCTGTGACTGATGACCTCTCTCTCTCTCACTACAGCAGTGTAATGTAAGGCCATGCTTGCTCGCCCGCCATGACCACTGTCACGCTGCGGTACTTCTGTTATGGCTGCCTCGTCACCTCGGCCACCTGGTCCTTCCTGCTCTTCCTGTATTTTTCCATGGGGGCGGAGCCTGACCGTGGCAGGACTCCCATGAGGCACCTCGGGCAGCCAATCACTGGAGGTGTGGCCGATCGTAGAGGGGGGCGTCGGCCTCTGCTGCCAAGTAATGGAGTGGAGCTTTCACCAGAGATGGGTGAGTGCCCGTGGTGCGTTCAGGTACTGCTGGGAGAGCGGCAGTGATGGGTGGAGTAAGGGGTGGGGCCTGAGAGCGAGTCAGTGATGACATGTTTTCAGAGTCTGTCAGACTAAATGAAGGATAACTGGCAAATGGGGGCGGGGCCAAGTCTCTGATGATGTCACGATCAACACCTCAGTGTGTTGGAGGTTCTTTATTTGTCACACGCATAATTA